CTGAATGGCGTACAATGTAAGAACTGCGGCTTACTGGGTCAGACCATAGGTCGGCCTTGCCCAGTGTCTGACAGAGTGGATGCTGAGTACGTGTGCACTTTCGCTGTGTGGCAGGTGAGGGCCCAGGGGTCTGTGTGCTATCAGCACCACCTGCAGGGAGGCCAGGCAGCACAGCCCACGTTGTGGTGGGAGATCTCATAGGATGTGGCCTGCGTGGTGTGTGTGGCCCTGGCAGATGCCCACAGGCACATCCTGTGGCTCCAGCCACCTTGAAGTTAGACAGCCCTGGTTTACATTACTTAAAAAAGGCGTGTATATGTTCAGGCAGGCCTGCTAAACATCTGTATTGAAAGACTTAATGGGGGCTCTACTCCAAATATGTATGTAGGATGCAGACACACAACAATTGCACCATTCCAAAGTGTCACTGATTGGGAACCTGTTGGCAGTTGTGTGGTAAATACTGTGGCTCTGACACCAGGGAATGGGAGTGAGCACCCTGCCTAGCATGCCTTGCAGTTGGGGGTGTAGTAGGGGAGTGCTTGCACCCAGACTTCCTTTGTCTTAAAGGATGGATGACCTGGGCCTGGGTCTTTTCCCCCCAGTTCTCTGCTGTTCATTCTCTCCTAAACATTAGTTCAGTAAATGTCAGTAGCCTGTAATTGATCAAAGTCTGTAGCTTGCTTGCCTGATCTGAGGGGTGCTTTGTCCTGAGTTCTTGGATTCCCAGGGCCTGAGGAGGCATGATGAGAGGCTTCCACGGAGTAGGAAGTGAGGGCACAGCTAGTTGTTGGGAAGACTGCTTTTATTGAACAAGCAGTGCAAGGGAGCAGCTGCAGCAGGGGGATTACCTGGAGGATTTACCAGACTTGTGTCATAGGATGTGTGGTGTCCAAATGTTACACCGGTTCACAGTGAGCCCGTTCAAAATAGTACTTGATTTTCCATTCCAGGTAGTTTTCAACTGTTTTAACAGACTTGTTTGTCCATTCACTTCAGGTTTAAACCACATCTAAAACAAGTTTGAGTATTATGTCTGTCGGTGCCCATAGGTGCTTGAAGACCTTCACAATAAAAAGGGTCCATGATTTCAGTTGGGTCTGTTCTCTGTCTGGCACTTTTTTTAACCAGTTATTGTATATGAATATTTGCAAATAGCTTCTGAATAAAACTTAAAAAAAATAAGCTTGCAGATATGATATGTAAGGGAAAAATGGGTCTGAATGATCTCAGTTGTGTACTAACTGGAAGGTTCTCATTGTCATACCTGTGTCAAGTTTTCAGGAATGAGGTCAGGTTGATTTGTCATCCACCAGGACTCTTTAAAAACATCCTTCTCAAAACAAAAGAGTCAAGAAAAGAAAAACAAAACAACTTGCCAGTATGTCCACTTTAACTAAGCCCTACTTTGGTCTCTCTTTCTCAACAAACAAATGACTTTGGATGCCATCTGTGTAACAGTTGGTATACTAGTCACTAGGAAGAATAAAGTACGTTTGGTAAAATGATCACTTGGACCTGTTGACATGAAATGGCCAATGAAGGTTCTGTAGTTAAGCATGAGGTGCCAGGATCTCTCTCTGCTCAGAGTTTGTTTGCTGGTAATTGCTCTTTGCTCAGTTTGTTTGTTTGTTTTAAAAGGTTGCACTTGGGAGTGATCTACAGTTGCTTGAAGGAGGACAGAAAAAGAAATCTTTGGAGCAGGAGCTTGAAGTAGCCAGAGCTTTAATCAGGGGAAATCCCAGAGCCACTCCTGCCCCACTCCATCTGGGGAATGGGCAGGAACTGCTGGGACAGCGGCAGTGACAAGGCATTCTCTCCTTCCTGTGCTCAGAGGTGTAAGCAGAGAGGGGAAGGTATGGAGTGAGACATATGGGGAGGTGCTGCTGATCATGGAAGGGAAAGGAAGGGGCATTGAAGAGTGAGGGAGGAAATTCTTACCTGATTTGGGAACTTAAAAAGAAAAGTCCCTGGCTGCTGTTCCCATGGCGTGGTATGCCCTCCCTGGGTGCTGGGGGAAGGCTGGGAGCAGAAGAGTACAGCTACTCCTGCAGCACCAGTTGCTGCCCCTTCATCCTCGTTTTTGAAATTATGCTCTTCCTATTGAATCTGTATTAGCCAGGGTCTGCAGTGCGTTAACTCTAACAAGCTAATGTTTCTTGCCTGGTGTATGAATGTCAGCCTTAGTAAAATGTATGTTGTCCTATAATGCGAAAATGAGATAGATGTGTCATCATTTCTAAGTGCCTTTAAAAATAAAAAGTGAAAAATTGCATCATGGTTGTAAAGAATAGTGTCATTCTTTTCTTTCACTATACAGAAAAGGACTTACAGTTCTTAAAAAATATTTATAAACTGTCAGCTAGTTTATGAAGCAGGTTAGCTATGGGTCATGTATCCCTTATGTATGATGGTATATATCTCATGCACTGTTTCAGGAACATGTTACAGTTCTTACTATGCGGCTGGATGTTGCTGAATAGGATTTCCTTGGGCTTCCCAATCAGTCTTTCTGTTGTTCAGAATGGCAAAGAACCCTAAATTTCAGGAAGTTACTCATCTATCTACAGGCTACATCCACTGTAAATCTCCACACAGCTTTACTGGTGAGTGGATAACTGACGTTTTTTCAAGACCTGAGGTTACCCCTTTTGTCAAACAGGTATCAGTTTTTACCCACTTTTTGTTAAGTATATTGGATGGAAAACCTCTCATAAAGTACAGTAATCATTTTGTACATAAATGTGTGAATATCATTTTCTAAGTTGTAATACTCTGATCTTGTAAGGACTAGTTTGTAAGACATTTAAAAAAAATACAGTAATTAAGTGATTGTCATGGGGTGGGGTACCTAGGGACAGCCATGATGCCCCTAGGGCCCCGTGATCATGCCAGTCTTGCCCTACGGGCACTGTCTATTCTCACCTGCCACGTCGATGGTTAAGATAATAGATAGTAGATAGGGAGGCTGCCCTCAAGTTGATATGCAGTCACAGTCCTGGTGGATCCCACTAAACCGCGTCGGTTCTTAGACCCCTTGCAGGATTCCATTGTAAGTAAGTGCCTTGCAGGACACCCCAAGCCTTATGAGCTAGATGCGTGGCTTCGAAACTGCCCCTTTGCCATGCCCCATGCCTCACAGATGGTATGTAGACGTCTCTAGTGATACGGCCTCAGTTTAGTTCTGCCTCTTGTTGCCACTGGATCCTTAGCCTCAGTAACTGCACCCTCTGGCACTGGGGTCTCCTCATCCCCCGTCACTGTGCTTTCTGGTGCTGGGGCTCTGCGCAGTAGTGTGCCCCAATGAGGCCGCCTCCTCCCCAATAGCCTCAGCCCAGTCCCATTGGATTAAAAGCAACAACATAAATATGAGCCCATGGGCTATAACATAATAGCAATCATAACAGAGGAAGTCACACTCTGTCCCTTTAAGAGAGCCAATTTCTCCCTCAACAATGTGTTCCTCTTAGCCCTGGATACTTCAGGAGCTCCTAAACCTCATTAGTCTCACCAGCAGCAGCACAGGCACCCAGGTATCTTGGTGGAGCTTTTCTGCACAAACTCCACTCCTGGCAGCTGCTAGGGCCCTAACTGACTTCAGTCCCAGATCTGGGGCTTATATGGGCCCAGGGCCCTGCCTCCTTCCAGTCAGCTGACCGGTTGTAGGTCCAGGCTAATTTCCTCATTAGCCTGCTGCCACGGCAACCTGCACCTATGGGGTTTATGCCTGGTTCCTAAGGGCCCTCTCTGGGCCGTTTCTGCCCTCAAAGGAGCACTGCAACAGTGATTTATTTATTTTATTTTTTTTGCACACGAACACCCCAAAAGCATCTCCTAAATCCCAACGTCAGAGCACTTATGGGGCTATATTTTATGGTTTTTAGTTATGCTTATGTGGATTTGCATCTTGAAAATAGCAGAGACAGTAGTGAGTTAATGCGTGTTTTATTTTTGCTTCTGTTTCCCCATCCTTCCACATCAAGGTGTGTTGAACATGAGGCAGCACAGTAAACTAAAAATAACTTAAATGTACCAGCATTAAATCCTAAGATACTCAGAAATCAGGAGATTTAAAAGTACCATGCATCTTTGTTTTACATAATGTATAGATTACTTTATTACTACTTGTTTAAAAAGGACATTGCATTTAAGGGAATTAGTGCTAACCATGCACTTGGTTCAACAAATAATATTGCCCACAGAATCCAGTGCAGCTTCAGTTATTTAAGTCTCTTCACTTTTATTCTACTGAGGGTTTGAATGGTTGCATTTAAAGTTAGTTTTTTTTTTGTTTTTTTTTTGCTATATATGCAGTGTGGTAAGAAAAGGGGTAATTTAATTTTTTTCATTGGTCTTTGATTAAAACTCATTTTTTAATCTTACTTTATTTCTTACTGTAAAATATTCATCCAGACTGCATTTGATTCTAGCGATATACTCATTAGTAAAATGTCAGTCTAGCAGTGTCTCTTCTTTCTCTACTTATTAGGAAGGTTACTGGAAAGCCAGTATCAATGGAAGTGTTTTGTATATAGTTGTGTGATTTATAGCATTGTTGCATGTTTAAGGGCCTATGAGCTGGTACAGTGTCAATAGAAAGTGTTCTTCTTCCTCCTCTTGCCTTAAATTTAAATATTATAAATTCTTGGTGTGATACTCTAGCTGTTGCATGTGTCTTAAGATTTTTTTTCCTCATTTTTCACTAGTTTTATAAATTCAAAAGCAATGAAATACCACAAAGCTCTCTAAGTCATTTTGTGAAAATTAAGCTAAGGGGGTTCTAAGAACTGACAGCTTGCTGACACTGTGTTAAACAAAGTCATTTTATATTTTAAGTAATCAGTTGTTTGTTATCTCTCTCTACAACATTTTATTTGACTCCAAGATGAGGTTTTTTCCCCATTTAACATCGGGGGGGAGGGGGGAAGAGTTGCTTCCTGCACCTCTCCCCCTCGCTGCCACTTATGCACCCCTTGCCTTCACCTCCACAGTCTCAGGTCTCCACCCTGTCCCATCTCCACCCTGCCCAACCTGCTTACCCTTGTCGAGCACCATCCTTGCTGCAGCCTGCGGTACGGAGCATGGCCCCAAGCTTGCCCCGTACCAGTGGTGCTGGCTCCATGAGGCTGCTGCAGGGCCATGCTGGGGCCATGCTCTGTGTCTCAGGTTGCAGCAGGGACAGATCCTGCTGTCACTGGGCAAGGGTAAGAGGAGGAGGGGTAGAGGCTTTGAGGGGGAAGGGGGCCGGGGGCCTGAGGCTGTGGGGTGGGCTTTGCTTTAAGGGGATGTGTGGGGTGGACAGGCATCGGGGAGCAAGCTTCCTTCCCCCCAACTCCGCTGCTGCCTCCACGCTGCCTGTCCCCCAACCACCTGTACACCACTGCTCTCCTCACGGCGTCCCCCGCTGCCTGCCCTACTGTATGCATCCCCCACTGCCTGTCCCCCCACTACCTTGCACACTGCCTGCTCCTTTACTGCCTCCCCATACCCCCCATCACCTGTCTCCCTTCACTGCCTGCAGCAATGGTGGGATGAATTTAAGACAGTTCTCCAATAATTAGATTCTATACATGGAAAATTATAACAAGCGTATACATATTTAATGTATAGAATCTAATTATTGTGGGGACATCTTAAATTCATCTTGGATTTGGGTTAATATTAGGGATCTGTGAGTCTTCGGTAGCTGATTCGATTCGGAAAAGATTCGGCCCGATTTTGGGGCCCGAATCTCCGAATCGAATTAGGATACCAATGAAAAGCTCCAAATCAAGTTGGAGCTGCAGCTGGTGAGTGTGGAGCAAATGCCCCGCACTCACCAGCTGCAGGAGTGGCGTTTGGGGCCTCTGGGCACTTGTGGCAGAGCCCCACCACATAGTGCAGGGCAGTGGGGGGCAGCGGGGACCCCCGTTTGGCACCCTTGTGGCAGATGTCGCATTGCACGAGTGCAGCGTGGCTTGGCAGGGTGCTGCGCACTGCCTGGGAGCTGGGACAGCTCCATGTGTCAGCCATAGCCTGGCACCACTCAGACCCAGTGGCCCCAGGTCCCAGGCAGCGTGTGGCGCCCTGCTAAGCTACACTGTACCCGCACCATAGGTCAGGTGTCATGCGGGTTCCAGGCGGGGGGGGAGCAATCCCTGCTGCACCCAACTGGCCCACAGTGCATGGGGAGGGCTCTGCCACAAGTGCCCAGAGGCCCCAATTGCTGCTCCTTCAGCCAAAGAGTGTGAGGCAGACTGTGCCTGCCTCTCCCTGGCTGATCCAAATCACCAAATCTCTCCGAGTCGGCGTCAAATCTTCCAAAGCAGATTCAGCCGAATCTATTTGGGACAGTGATCCAAATCTCCAAATCAAATCACTGTCCTTTGAATTGGCCAAATCCAAATCAAATACTTCCCTACTTGCACGGGTCTAGTTAATATGTCCAGGGGTATGGAAAAGAAGACAGTGTCTTTATCCATTAACATATGTGCCCTTCAACATTTGATTACACTCTCTTGTACATCAGTTTGTAGATTTTGGTTGACTTTCTTGGGTGGGATTATGACTTTAGGAAGGCATTAGGAGCAAATGTAAGAAGGACTGTTCTGAGTTTGAAAGAGTATGAAGAAAAACAAATTTAGGAAGAAATTATTTTCAGAGAGTAAAAAGGAGCCACCAGAAGCATTGTCTGGCTTTTATTTCAAGAGCAGAATTATGATTTATCACTAGAGCAGAGTAAAAGAATAGTATTATTGTGATAAGTTCTTAATAACACTGCTGCTTCTATGTGTTTTGAAATAAAGGTCACCATTAAAACTGATAAAACGCCTATAGAAATCTTAGTTAAGATTTTAATGCAGACCTACCCAGTTCTTTAAGGATAGTTATTTGACTTTAAAAGAAGTGCAGCAATTATATATTTGAGTCAGAATCTTGAAGGTTAATTTATTTTTAATACTGGCTGTTTATAGCTTGACATTACATTTTAAAATTGTTCACTAACTTCACTAAAACTTTAGCTTTAGAAATTGTAGTATTACAGTGTATTTAATATACTTTTTGTTATGGTTTCTCATTTCTAGCCAAGGTTACATGCTTTATTATTCAAAAATCTATGTGCTTCAGCACTAAGACAGAGTCAGCTTTAAAATGTTTATTTAGTGTTTCGTGTGTGTGTGTGTAAAACTGCATTCAGACAATTTCACTACTTTCTGATTTCATGAGATGTTGGCTTATTGTACTGAAATGCCTTGAGTGAAATGTACTGAAATGCCTTGTACTGAAATGCCTTAAATCAGAAATTTAAAGTTTTTGTCTGGTTTATAGGGTAACTTAATATATTTCCTGTGTAGTAAAGGCTGTAGTGATGTAAATTAAAGTTTATGTGCAAAGAATGCAACAATATATTCAGTGGTGTGGTTCTTAAGTTATTTAAGTCTCTAAAACAGCAAAATATTTTTCTACTGAAAAAAATTGAAATCCATGTAAATTGTCCCCTCACTGACTTCTGGTCCCCAGTTTTCACTTACTTCAGCTTGACTCTTCATTCTAGGAAAAAATCAAAGTGAGAGAATAAGGACAATTGGATTTTTTTAAATACTTGTTAGGGATGCACTGATAGAGATTTTTGGGGCTGATACCAATAGCTGATTTTTAAGGAGGCATGTTGGCCAATACTGATTTGATTTCTGATACTGGCCTGGCAACTTGAAGAGCTGCGTGTAGCTGGTACGTTTGGTGTGGTGGATGGGGAGGGAAGGGAAGTGGGGGGGGTGCAGATCAAGCCCCTGCAGTGAGGGAGGAACGGGGCAGGAGCTGGGGCAAGTGCTGCCCAGCTAGGGTGGGGTAGGCGCGGGACGGAGTCCATGGGGGCACAGGGAGAGTGGGGACAGTTCCTGCTGCTGTGCACCACTCGTCCAGGAGCAGGCTGGTCCGGCACTCACCTGCTCCTGCCACTGCTCCCGCTGTTCATCCGGGAGGGCATGAGGGTGGGGGGGAGCGTGTGCCCCCAGATCTGCGCAGGACGGGCTGGGCCGGGCTGGGAAGAACCCTGCGTAGTCCTGGCCCCAGCCTGCCCTGCCCCACGCAGATCCGGGGGCACACCCCCCATGCCCTCCTGGACAAACAGCACACAAGTGACGGAAGCTGCCCCTCCCCTCAACCCCCAGATGAGCCGCAGCTCCATCCCACACCCGTCCTGCCCCGGCTGGGCAGCGCTTGCCCCTGCCTCAGCCCCAGCTCCACTCCTCCCTCACCTTGGGGGCCTTGATCTGCCCCACCACACCCCTTCCCTCCCCACTCCACTTCCACCACACCAGACTTACCAGCTGCACGCAGCTGTCCAAACTGCCGGCCTGTGCTCCTCACTGCCTACGTGCTGCATTGTGGCTGCATGCATGCACGGGCATTTATCAGCCAAATTATTGGCCACATCAGGCCAATTTCTGATACGATCAATTTTCTTTGTATCGGTGCCCATCTGATATTGGACCAATGTATCGGTGCACCTCTAATACTTGTTTATAACACAGCAAAAAGTAATTATAATTGGATAGGTAAGATGAGAAATAAACATTTCTAGAGAAGGACATTCATTTCTATGATTAAAAAATCAGATTAGTTTTATGTTGGTTTTAGGTTCTAGTGTGATGTAGTCTGTTTATCTGCTAATGAACAATAAGTTTATAAAAATCAGAGTTCTTTGACTGTGGTTGTCTAACTAGTCTATTACTTTCTTTTATATTTAAAAACAAACTTTGCAGTTTCCATAAATAAGTCCCTATGTTATCTTCTGAGATTTGGTTAAAAAAGTTATTCTGTTAGCAGGAGAAATGTTCTTTTTCAGATAATGAAAGGAGCCCAAATGGGAGAAACTGACTTACTGCTGACCTTTTCTGCTGCTCTTTTTTGAGAGCTGGATAGTAATAATGTCACTGCTCATGATAGTGTTTCTGTGCATTGCATTTCTTCTTCATATTTCTGTTCAGCATATCTTGTTCTGGGTAAATGTTGGAAAATGCTGCATACTTAGAGGAAAATGGTTCAGATTCTTCATAGCTGGAAAAGGAGAAATACATTTCATTAATACATTTGAATAGTAAACACTTAACCTTATTTTTAGAGGCCTTTATCTGGAATAAAAAAACTCACAGAAATACAGAGGGAAGAAATGATTTGTAGGAAGTTCAGTTCATCGGAATTCTATTTGTGATTGTTTTGTAGATGATGCAGTTGTTGAGCAAGCTTATTGAACAGAACAAAACCGTAAGTTATATTTTTTGTGAAGTTTGTCCACTGTTGTGGAATCTAGTTTCTGATGTTACTAGTGAAACAGTCAAACTACTTTGACAAATATTTGATATAGATTGTAGGTGTAGCATGATATTTGTAAACAGCTATGCCTTGCTCTAAAGCTGAATAAATATAGTTTGTGCTGGACGAAGCTGAAGCACTAATCAAGTGGTTCAGGCATTTGAATGAACACTTGCACGCAATCCTAATTGATTAGTAGTGCAGTGGTTGCAAATGCCCATCCCCCCTGCCCCCTTCTAAAGTAACGCTCTGTGACTGGCTGTGACTGGCTACGCTGTAGTGTTGCAATCTGAGACACAGTAAATCCCGCCCCCTATTGGCATCTAGGCTATAGGAGGTCCAGCTCCTTTCTACAGCCCTAATCTGCAACAGGGCTCCAGAGGGATGCAAGAGCTAAGGCAACTGTGTTCCTTGCACAGGGCCCTGGCTTCCTTTAAACCCCATAGATGCAGGGCCAGATCCAGACCTTAGATTACATGCCCCAGGAAAGTCTAGGGCTGGGTGGAGCATGGCTGGCTGGGGAACGCCTGGTAACTGCCTGCCCAAGGAAACTCCTCCCTGGCTGGCTATGCTCCCACTAGCCTTAAATTCTCCTTGGTCATTTAACTGGCTGGCCAGGCAGCAAAGTCTCCCAGGGCATGCAGCTGCTGGTTGCTTCCCAGCCAGGCCCAGACTCTCCCAGGGCATTTAAATGGATGGCCAGGGAGCAGTGTCTCCCAGGCCATGCAGCTTCTGGGCATTCCCCAGCTGCCTACGCTCCACACAGCCCCTGAGTTTCCTAGGACAGTGGTTCAAACCTCTGGTCCATGGACCAAACAGCCCACAGAGCCATCTCATCTCGCCTGCAGGTACCCCATGGGTCCACAGTTTTGATAATGGGGGAGTGGCAGCCACCCTCCCTCATTGCCAAATTCCCAAGCCCCATGTTTCCTCCCATACCCCCTCCCTCTTGCTTCTGGCTCAGGCCCAGGCCATGCTCCCCCTCTACCCCATAGCTGGGCTGGGGCTGGGCCACTCCCCTGCTGCCCCCATTGTGAGGCTGGGTTTGCACCAGGCCTTCCCCCCTGTGGGGCTAGGTCAAGCTCCTTTCCCCTGTGGAGCTACGTTGGGGCTGACCTATTCCCTGCACCTCTCCGTGAAGCTGGATGGTGCCTGCTATGTCCACCCTGGGTGCCGGATCAGGATCACCAACTGGATTCAGCCTGTAAAGGGGAATAGGTACTGCCCATCTGGCCTGCCAGGCAAAAAGGTTGGGCACCACTGCCCTAGGGCATTTAAATGACTGACCAGGGAGAGTGCAGAGCTGGGGCAAGCAGCCAGTCAGGGCAGCCCAGCCACTGCCTTAAACAACCTGGTTCAGCCAGGGGGGCCTGCAGAGCTGCCTGGCTTTAGTGCATGGGGCCCCCTGGCTGTGGATTGATGGCAGCACAGCTAGTCTGTATTGGTCCAGCCCGAAGCAACAAATGCATGCACAGTTCACGATTAGTTGGGGTTCCACTGGATTCCACAAAACAGCTGCACTTCAGCCATTTGAATTGAGTACTTGCATGCACCCTTCCAGTGCCCTGTGCAGCTTACTTCAGCATGTAAAACCAATGCAAGTTGTAGCAGTGTAAACACATTTCCTTCCCAGGCCCTCAGAAATAAATATTTAGCAAAGGCCAATGTAATGTGCTCATAGCCTATTGCTCTACTTGGAAAGCAGCATTTTTCTTTCTTAAATAGGAAGTGCTCAGGGATAACTTGAAGCCGTTGCGGTAATTGAGCTTAGAAGTGAGAAGCACACAGATCATTTTGATTCTGCATTTTAGAAGTGGGCTCAGTGTTGTCTGGGTCTCTTCAAATTAAAAAAAAAAAGTTATGAAGGAACACTGCTGTAGAAATCCCAAGCAGCAATTGAAATAGTATGAACACTAAATGAAGATCAAGGATATGTTTCTTAACCCTGCCACACATTTCTCCCTGTGTTTACCAACTAGCTTCACTTACTTCATCATCTCTCCCACTTCATTTTTGGAGTTGTAGTACTGTCAACATGGAAACATGTCTCCCATTGGTAGTGTTTCTTGGTCTTACTCAGTGGCCAAAAACATACACTGAAGAGGCAAGCGGTTTTTTTTGTGTTGTCTTTTATTGGACCAAGTCCATTCTTTTAAAAGGATTCTTTGTTTTCACTTACACATGGAGTAATGCATGTGCTTGTGTTCTGTCTGCTATTTAACTCAAGTGGTGTCTACTTTTCACCAAGACCTCAGGAAGGATGGGTTGTGTTAAAGTGCTAGGTAACTTCTCTCTCAACTATACAGTTGGTCCTATACAAGATATCGTTAAAAACCCTCACCTCTTGTACACTTCCTGGACCATCATGGCTGCAACAACACTCTAAGCCAGAAGTGTTAAACATACAGCCTGCAAGCTGAATCCAGCCGCTGACTGCTGTGTCCAGCTCACTGGGCTACCTGTGGGTGATTGGAAGTGTGAGGGAGAGGGGGAAATGGGCAGCCTGCCTAGAATTTATTTAGATTCATGTTCTTTGTGGTTGTGCAATATCTAGCACAGTGAGGCTCTGATCTCTAGTTAGAGCCTTAAAGTGCCACTGAAAATGCAAATATTTAAACTCCGTTGTGTTTCTTAGCGTGTATGCTTCTAAGTGTATGCATGGAAAAAGTGTAGCAAGAGCTTGCATAGTTCATGAATATTCCACCAAGAAAATAAATATGTTGCATGTGTGCAAAATGAACTTTCACACACAACTTTTTACTACAGCACAAAAAGTGCCTGAAAATACTCATTAAACATAAAACCTGCACTAACCCAAACAGCTGAACTGCATTGTTAGCAGGGAGGAGGATGGTAATCAACGGCTGAAGCTTTGCACTGAATACCTCTGCAAACAAGGTTGAAGGTAGCACTCAGCACAGAAGTATTTTTAAATTTCTAAAACTACTTTTTTACTTTTTTGTTTGTGTGGACCAGAAAGTACTAACGCACTCCCACAAAAGGTATCTCACAGCGCATTATTTTTTATTGCAGGTGATGCAAGGAATGACCTGTGTCACTCTTGTGGTCACTTCCTTATGTTCAGTGTACAATGACACATGAGTATCAAAGAGGAAAAAGAACTTTAAAATAGGGATGTAATTATTGTTTAAAAATGTATCTGTTTAAATAGTTAACTGGTGATAACACATACCTAGTCCTGGCTGGGGGGTGTGGAGCCCTGCCCAGGGCTTGTCCTACCCTGCCCTGCTTCAGGGGAGGGGCCACAGCTGCTTGTGTGGAGCAGTGTGGGGAGACAGTTGCCCCGAAGAGACCTGCTTGGACACAGCTGCTGCTGGGAGCCACTCTGCAGGGCCTTTGACCATGGAGGGAGGTGGTGGCAGCAAGATCTACCAGACAGCATGGGAGATTTCCCAGCCTGCTGCAGCTGCTGGTGGACTGGGAGGGAGGGAGCAGACTAGCTATGGGTTCCAGTCTCCCTCCCCCTTCTGCTCCACCTCCTTTCTTCCTTGCTCCTCCC